AAGGAAATAGAAGGAGGGAATGCTTTAATTGCCCAGATAAAAAAGAGGAATTAGAAATTGGCATTACAGAAACCTGGTGGGAGGATTCACATGAGTGGAACGCTACACTCACTCGATGGACTCTATTTAGTCTACATTACTACCATCGTCTGCTTTTATGTTTAGAAATGCAGGCTGTGGAATGCAGATGGACCACAGCTGTTGCCAAGAGAAATGGTGGAAGTGTTTGTTACAGACTGTCCAATCAGACTAGCGAACAGGGCAAACAGCTCTTAATCACGGGCATTGCCTCGCATAGGCTGGGGAAGGCTGTGCCTCCCCAAACAGCCACACTCCTCCCCGAACCCCTGCTTGCCCTTGGCCCCGGCCCAGGCAGGCTGCTCCTCTTCAGGGAAGCGGGCTGGGGCTGGGGCTAGGGCGACCAGGACTTGGGGTGGTTGGGGCTGCCCAGCACTGGGGGGCCCAGGTGCTGGGGCTGTGCAGCCCGGCGTTCGGGGGGGGCAGGGCTGGAGGTGCTGGAGCTGCCTGCTCTGTGCTTGGGGGGAGGAAGGGGGCTGTGTACCACCCGCCCGCCCTGCGTTCGGGGCCTGGGGTGGGGGCTGGCAGCTGCAGGGAGGGATGGCTCTGGCGGGGGAAGAGGGGCAGGTTCTCAGGTGGGGGGGCGCGGCTGGCTGGGGGTTAGCCTCACCCACCCAGCAGTTCACCCACCGCCCATGCTCTTAATGTCTATCAGAAATGTGCAGGAAGAAAAACCATTACAATGCTGGAGGTTTCATGCTGCCACTAGAAAAATGTCTTGGAGAGTTAGAAAATTACCATCAATAATTTTTGACCACAAGAAGCATTACACCATAGCTGGGGCAATTCTCTGAAACCTTGTTGTGACAAAGATAAAGTAATGACTGAACTAAATATTAGTGATTGCCTGTCCTAGGTACAAGTGATCATGACCTCATTACACAGGCTATGTACAATCAGAATACAGTCCTGACTGGTAATATATATACTGGGGCTTTAAATGGGCCAAATTCAAAAAGTTGAAAATGATCAGGAGCAAACTTGAGTGGGAGGAAATATTTAAACAAAACAAGGTGAATAAGCATCTGGTAACGTACTATCAAACAACTCACAAATCTGCAATTTCAAAAGACTGCCCGTTAAACCATCCTGGTAAAGAAAGAAGGTGAAAATAGCAATTATAGATATGCACAAATGGAAGTTCGTTAGCAATGGTTATAAATTAGCTGTCATGACATGAAGAGAAGCTAAAGGTATATGTGAAAAATCTATGGCCAACAGAGCTAAGGACAATAAGAAGGAATTTTTAAATACATCAGGAACAAAAGAGAACCTAGAAGTGGTATCAGTCTACTAAATATAGATCATAAAGTCGTCAGTAGTGATGGAGAAAAGGCAGAGTTCAATTAACGTTTCTTTCCTGTGTTCAGGCGCAAGCTGAATGACATAGTCACAACATACATGATGAAACACTCTCCATTGTGACAGTAGCTAAAGAGGATGTTAAGGAGCAACTGTTTAAGCTACACATTTTCCGATCTGTCGTATCTTTATCAATGATCTGAAAGAACGTATGCAATCTTTGCTTATAAAGTTTGCAGATGAGACAAAAATTGGTGGAGTGATAAAGAATAAGGACTGGTTAATTCCACAGAGTGATGTGAATCAGATGTTAAGGTTGGTTCATTTGAACCACATGTGTTTTAACACAGCTAAAACAAGGCCAGTGTTTCTGATCAGCTTAAGCTAAATCAAAATAAGCTACTTGTAAACTCCAGAAGAGGCTGGAGAGCCATGGCATGGTTCAGACACACCCCCTGCCAAACTACAGGATTTGTTAAGACTAGATGGCCCTTATGGTCGCTTCTAACCCTATGATTCTATGAAACTGAAATAAGAATGTCTACACAAATATGCAGCAACTTAATCAGATCAGTTTGGCACTGGTTGAGCTAAAGGTATTAGTCTCCAGGTAGACAAGTCCTAGTTTCCTGTCAAAAATATCATTGGCTATTCCAAAAATATCTAGAAGGAATGAGAACCAATGTGCAAAGATATCCAGCGGATGCTAAGATTGCGAAGTAAAAATGAAAGGCTCCTGCAGACATGGGTCTCCGAATGAGGCTCTGGAGAAGAGCATTTAATCGTGGGCCTTTGTGGGGAGTGGTGAGGATGAAATTAAATTGGACGGCAGCGACCGAAGAAGGCAATGGAGCATGAGCCAACTTGGTCTAGGGGACATTCCAGCAGTTAGTCTGGCAAATGCATTTCCAGCTTGCCCTCTCCAGCCATCTCTGGTGGTTACTTAGGGTTGTTAGTTGTATGGTCCCAGGAAAGGCAAGCGCTGCTCATGCTCACTCGCTCCTAGGGTGACCAGACGTCCCGATAAAATCGGGACTGTCCCGATATTGAGTTGTTTGTCCCGCGTCCCAACCGATGTACGGTGGGGATGCCATTTGTCCTGATATTTTGGCTCGGGGCTGGAGGAGTACACTGGCAAGTGCTCACCTGGGGTCCCGGTGGTGCTTATTTGGGGCGGCTCCCAGGAAACGGCTGGCAGCAGGACCCTGCGGCCCCTAGGCACAGGGGCGGCCGGGGGGTGTGTGTGTCTCTGCGTGCTGCACCTACCACAAGTGCTGGCTCCATCGCGGCCAGGGCGCAGCCCCCCCCCCCCGGCTGCCCTGACCCTGGGGTGCTGCGTCCCCAAGTAAGTCCCGTCCCCACAGCTTCCAGCCAGTGGCAGCTGGAGCCCGTGCCTGTGGCAGGTGCAGCACGTGGCGTGGAGACCCCGCTGGCCACTGCTGACCCTAGGAGCCAGAGGAACCTGCCAGGGGCTTGCCAGTGGGTGGGAACCGTCCCCCCGGTAAGCAGTGGGGCTGCTGCGGAGCAGGGGCCATGCACCCCCAACCCGCGACTTCTTCAGGCTGCGTATCCCCCTTCCCCCATGGCTGCAGTGGGGTGGGGGCTGTGAGCCTGTGTCCGCCCTCCCCCACGTGTGCCGATATTTTATCCTTGTCATCTGGTCACCCTACTCGCTCCGCCTCCGAATGACTTTCCTTGGCCCTTCTCTCCCCCAGTGGAGAGATGCAAGAGGCCAAAGTCTCTGCCGCTGTGACCCGGCACAGCTCTACTGACTGCACGGGGGCACTGCCAGCTGACACCAGCAGAGATCTGGCCCAAGGGTGTCCTGCCTCTGTGGGAGTCTCCAGGCCCAGGATACTTACTCAGAAAACATCGTGTGAAAACCAGCCCGTTGGCCTTGGTTTCTCCCCCTCCCCTCCCGGCACTCTAAGGCCCCGGGCGCTAGGGACGTTGTGCTTGAGGCCACCCTTGGCCAATTTGTGCTGCACTTGTAAGGGGAGAGTTGGCCCCTCCCTAAAACTCAGTGGCGGGGGGCTGTTTTGGTTGCTAGCTCCCAGTACCGAAAGGAAGGGGAAGGGTCGATGGGAAATCAGGACCCTGAGACTGAGTCCACAGGAACAATGGGGAGAGGCCAACGCCGGATTGACATGGGGCCAGGATAATCAGAGAGTCAGGAGGCCAGGGGGGTCCCGTCCTCCGTCCTCCGTGTGAGCTGGATTTGCCTGGGGCAGACAGAGTGGGGCCGAGGTCAGGAGAGAGCCGGGGCCCGAGCTGAGCGGGGGAACAGGGCCGTGCCAGCCAGAGGGGCCAGAGAAGCAGCCCCGGGAGCTGGAGGCAGAGAGCAGCAGCAGCCGTGCTGAGGCCGTGGAGCTGGAGCTGGGGCTGGGGCTGGGGCTGGGGCTGGGGCTGGGGCAGTCTGGAGCCGGGTGCGGTGAGCAGCTGGGGAGAGTGAGGGGGACTCTGGGCAGTGGGCCCAGGGCAGGGAGACGCCCCTGGCAGAGAGGCTCTGCAGGCCATACTCGGAGGGGGCTCATAACCCTAACTGGGGGCGGGGGGGGAAGAAGGATCCTGCCACCTAGAGCCTGAGAGCGTGTGGCCACCGCCAGAGCAAGTATCCATCCGGCAACATCCCTGCAGCACAGTCAGGGCCTGGGCAGAAGGCCTGGGACATGTGAGGGACAGACTGAACTGCTCTGACATCCCAGAAACACTGGTTGGGATGTCCCCAGGCCACAGAGCAGGGTGACGGGTTTTCCTTTAACCTTTCCCAATTTTTCCTTATTTTTTTTAATTGATTGCTGTTTAAGAAGTTGTATTTGCTTTGTATGTAATGATCAGTGGGTCAGGGAAGTGCCCAGTGCAGAGAGAGTACCCCGGAGTGGGGACATCCTAGCCCGTGCCTAAGTGACCACAACAAGGTTGGGGGTCGAGCCTCCCAGGAATCCAGGGCCCTGCCTTGTTGGGGTTATGAGGACTCTGCCAGACAGGAGAGTGGAAGGGGAGACCTTGAGGTCAGGCAGGTCTCTGGGTAAAGGGAGTGGAAGCGAGGACTCAGATCCTTTCGCTAGCCCATTTCACCGGGGTAATGTATAAGCCAGGAAAGTTCCCCACAATCGTGGGACCATTCCCCCGCTTACGCACTGACCAACTCTGAGAGCTTTTGCCAGAGGATGTTGTGAAGGCTGAGACGATAACAGAGTTCAAAAAAGAACTAGCTAAGTTCCTGGAGGATCGGTCCATCAATGGCTATTAGGCAGGATGGGCAGGGATGGTGTCCCTAGCCTCTGTTTGCCAGAAACTGGGAATGGATCACTTGATTACCTGATCTGTTCACTCCCTCTGGGGCACCTGGCATTGGCCACTGTCGGAAGACAGGACACTGGGCTCGATGGACCTTTGGTCTGACCCAGTGTGGATGTTCTTAAGGAGTGGCTCTTCTGTTTTAAGGTATGCTCGATGCAGGACCTGTGGTGATACATACAGTGATTGCTTCATATCCTTTCCCCTCGACGTCCCTCCTGCTGCTGTGTTGAAACTGACCTCAGCTCGTTGCAAGGACTATTCTTGTACATCCTGAGGTGAGGCATAGCTGCTGTCACTCCTTCACCAGTGACTGGTGGCCATGCAGCTGATGTCACGGAACAGGCAGGAAACCTCACTGGTCCCCTATAAAAACAGGGGCTTGTCCCGGGGGTCAGTATCAGAGGTTAGAAAGAGTCCCTGCTCTGCTTCTGCTCCTACGGTTCATCCCTCACCTGACAGCAACATGAAGGTCTCTGTGGCTGCTCTCGCCATTCTCCTCATTGCTGCCTTCTGCTCCCTGGCCTCCTCTGCCCCACGTGAGTCCAGCTTCTCTCTGTCCTTGCAGGGTTCTTCTGCTGAAAGGCGACAACTTTGCAGCTCAGCCTTTAAAGGTGACCTGTAAGGATTTAATACAACAGGGCTTTATGGCCTCTTCTGCTTCTTTGGGATAGAGGGAAGCCATCTGGAAGGTCTGCTGTTAAATATTGTCTTAGAAATATTGGGATTATCAATTTGGATCGTCCCAGGTTTCGCTGGAGGACTTTGAGAGGGCGCCTGGAGATGGTGCTTGTGAGCTCTCACCTTAGATGAAGGAGTGGGGCAAATGGGTGTTGAATCTTTATCAAAGATGTCCTTTGTCACTAGGGTTCATTAGGTGTCGGAGTTAAAGGGAAATTAATGAAAAGAAACCCAGACCTGTAAAGGCTCTGGCCAGGACCCCTCCTGCTTTCACTTGCTCCCTATTCAGTGTGATGCTGTCACTTCATCACAGAGATAATCCGAGCCTGTCGCTGCGCTGAATGGAAACAAATCCGACGAGGTCTCCAGACTTGTTAAGGAGGAAAAGCCGCAGATCGCTAGTGCAGGGGGCGACTGTCACTGGCCAGGCCATGCCTCCGCGAGGAATCATGGACGCTCACCTCCAGCTTTTCAATCTCTTTCAGTTGGTTCAGACACGACCGTCTGCTGCTTCAGCTACGCCTCCCGGAAGCTGCCCCAGCGACACCTGAAGGACTATTTCTACACCAGCGGGAAGTGCTCTCAGCCAGCTGTCGTGTGAGTACTAGCAGAAGGTCTGGGCAGAGGTCTCGGTCAGCCTTCAATCTCTCCCCCATCGCCTCAGGCTGCGTTAGCTTAGGGCGTGTCTACATGGGACAGTTCTACTAGCATAAGCAACTCTGTGAATTTAAGCCACAGTAATTATCCTGGTTTAACTCCCTGTGTGGACGCGCTTATTCTGGTGTAAGAGGCTTTTTCAGTGTAGATTATGTTGCTTGGGAAGGGGTTTAGGATAAACTGGAAAAGGGCCACTCTGATGCTGGAATAGGAGTATCTACATTGGGAACGGTGGTTATACTAGGGTAACTATATGGGTCTAACTGGTAAAGCCTTCCCATTTAGACAAACCCCAGGAAAACTTTGCTAATGTGTTATGTTTTAAACACCATTTCACACCTAGTGTAGACAAAGGCAACTGTGTTTAACGTCAGTGGTTTCTGGGGTCACGTACATTGCTTTGGAGTGCATTAAGGCTATATCTACCCTGCAGCCTATGTCGGCAAAACGTATGTCGCGCAGGGGTGTGAATATTCCACCCCTCTAATGACATAAGTTATACTGACATAAGCACTTGTGGGGACAGCGCTGTCGGCGGGAGAGCTTCTCCGGCCAACCTGGCTTCTTTTGCTTGCACGGGGGATGTTATTGTGCCGACGGGAGAGCTCCCTTCCGTTGGCAGAGAACGTCTTCACCAGACGCTCTGCAGCGGTGCAGCTGTCTTGGTCCAAGTGCAGTGCTGTCTGTGTAGACATGGACTTAAGCTAAACTCAGATTAGTGCCCATGCCCCGGTTACACTGGGAACACGACAGGGGATAACTAACTTGCTGTGTAAAGAAGCCCTTCGCTAGGGTTAACAGAGCTAACACTCTAAACACAGCTGCGCAAGGTGCTAAATTTTGCACAGAAACATGGGAATCAGTTACTCAACACACTGCATTTCCCTAGTCTAGACAGAGCCCATGGGGGACAGCATGGTGTGTGACTTCCCTCTGCAGCATCCTGTAGCCAAATGCACCAAACGGAGGCTGTTGCTGGGTCAGGGTGGGGGCTCCTGTCACTGAGAGGTGCAGTAGGCAGAAAACTAGGCTGAACTAATACAAGCCACCATTTCCAGTCTCATTCCCACACTAATTGGATCAGTGAGCAGCTGGTCATGCAGGTGTCTCTCTGAATAGACCTCTGAGGTTCTCCAGGCCCTCGCGTGGTTTAATAGGCCACGGTGCAGTCAGGTAGCATGAGGCCTGGGATTCGTAGGCTTGGGAGTCTGGGCTGAGGCTATTCTCCCCTTTGAAAGGTCCTAAACAGGGAGCAGTGAACAAAGGGCCCCCAGGGGTCATCCCGTGGCCCCAGACCCACCAGGCCCACTTTATTACATCCATCCCCGCATCAGTGTTCTAAGCCCCGGGTCTCTCTCGTGCTACACAGATTTGTCACCAGAAAGAACCAACAAGTCTGCACCAATCCGGACACCAAATGGGTCAAGGAATACGTGAATTACCTAGAAATGAAATGAGACGGCTGGGAGCTGATGGAGACCCTGCGCGCTTCCCTGTCCACGGACCACCACCCCTCAGCCCCTAGCAAAGGCCGTCGCTGCACTTTAAGGGCTTGCTGGCACTTTAAAGACATTTTAAGCTATTTTATTTGCATTGTAAAAGAATCACTTCTGTTCTAGATTATCCACCTTTATAGTACAAACCAGGCCCTGAACACCTGTGGTCATTAAAAATCCTATGGCCCTTAAAGGTAGCAGCCTATGAGGCAGTGTGGCCTAGTAGCTAGAGCACTGGACTGGGACTCAGGAGACCTGGGATCTATGGGCAAGTCACTTCCCTGCTTGGTACCTCAGTTTCCCCACCTGTAAAATAGGGATAATGATTCCAATCTCTTTGGTAAAGAGCTTTGACATCTACTGATGGGAAGTGTTATATAGAAGTTAGGTGTCATTCTTCATCTCCTGGCTAAATTCCAGTTCAGTTAATTCAATTTCATATCCCTAACTTCCTCCTGTGGTTTCAACTGTTTATGGGACTTCCCCTTCCCTTCCTGCCCTAAGTTCTGTGCAGCTGTGGAACCATTGATGTGCGTTACCCAGAGGTGGCTGCATTCCAGTAACGGGTGAAGTAACTCCTGGCTTGCACCTGTGTGAAGCTAGCTGCCAAGTTTGAGAAGCACCTTGGGATACTTCGGGATGACAGACAGTGAGCAGCAAATAAGCTAATGCTGTAATATTATTGGTCTCTCATTTATCAGGGGGTTGCTGTGGACCAGCAGACCATGCCTTTATGTTTGACACACTGTCACTTGCTGATTTCAAGAAATAAAGATGTTTTTCTCTCTGTGAAATGCCTGGCTGTCTCTCCCTGAGCTCGGAGGTGTTCCAGGTGCGTCCCCGAGTGGCCTGCATGGCATCCTGTCAGCTACTTGTGCCCAGTCCCATAGATGCATAGATTTGTACAGCCGGAAAGGACCAGTAATCTAGCCTGACCTCCTGATTGCACAGGGACTCCTCATTGAGGCAGCCAGGTGGACGCAGGCAGGCGGAGACCATAAGTGGGAGGGGAGAGCCAGGCTGACTCGAACAGGCTACCTTGCACGTGGGGTGGTGTCTGTGGGTGCATCGGGGAAGCCCCACAGAATGCCCAGCTCCAGGGATTCAGCTGCCCCAGTCCTTCTCCCTCCCATAAAGAGAAGCGAAGGGGAAGGTGTATTGCTGTTTAGCTCTTAGGCTGGCATAGAGGCCACCTAGAGGCTGCATGCCAGCCCTGCAAGGTGACAGCACGTGACCTCCATGCCCAGCCCCTAGACTCCCCCCATACGAAGCCTAATTGTGTAAGGGGGAGCGGGCGTCAATATTTCACCCACTGTCAGGAAAGGATTATTAGCTGAAACCCCCTGCTTCGGGGTTTAATCTAATCTCGAACAACCAGGGCAGGATGAGACCTGCTGCAGGGGCAGATTATCCAGCATCTGCTATGGCTGGGTTCTTCAACACTCCCACGAAGCATCTGGCTCCAGCCACTGTCAGAGACAAGAGATGGGCTGGATGGACCTTGGCACTGGTCCAGTCTGCCCCTTCCCAAGTTCCTACATGTTTCTCTGATACTCAGTGCCACTGTCCCTTTCTTACTCCCAGCAATTTAAATCCCTTCCCTCCTCGCCCTTCTCTCTCCACCAACCCCATAACTCTCTCCTCCTTCACTGCAGAAAGCCGCAGACTGTCCTCCTTGCCCCATATCATCCATGTCTCCTCATTCCTCCCTCGTGCCCCATCCCTCCACCCTCTCCGAGGAATCTTATACCCATAATCCCCCTCCCCTCTAGGCTCAGACTCTGACCCCTACCTTGCAGTGCCCCTCTCATGGCTCCCTATCCCCCCTCTTCTCTGTCTCTCCAAGATGCCTCCTCTAAGATCTCTGCCTCCCCACTCCCCATCCCTCTCGAAAGCTCCTTGTACCAGCCCCCACGTTCCCCAGCCCCACGCACTGCCCCACAGCTCCCACCTTGTCTCGCCATTGCTAGGAGTACTCACTCAGAGGTCTGCGCTGTGAATCGAAATTGACCCGTCCTGCTGGTGACCGTGTGGGAAGTCACAATGGTTCCGCAGGGATGGAATTGCTGCTCCCCCCCGCCCCCGTTGTAGTTAAACCCAGGAAATGACATAAAACTAAAAGAACATTAAAGCTGCAAAGTCAAACACTCAGAAGTGAGGAAATGGCGAAATGAAGGATGCCTCTGAAACCTTAATTCACACCCCCTTTGTGCATGTGCATTATGGTGCAGGCTTTAATGGCCGGAGGACACAGTATTTTTCCACAGGCCCTGCTGCGGTCAATGCACAGGATGGCCAGGGCTTGGGACCTGAATCAGGGCTGTGCAGTGAATGAGATGATGCCTGCGGGACCGCTGCCTCGTTTGTTGCAGTAGCGGGAAATGAATGGGTCGACAGGTTGAAGGGGATCATGGTTAAGACAACTGAATGCTGTCTTGGAGACCTGGATTCTCTCCCTGCCTGTGCCCCAGAGCTCCTGTGTGACGCTGGCCAAGTCACTCAACTCAGACTTTTCATAGGTGTCCATTAGCTGTGTGTGACTGAGTGGGATACGTCAGGGTCTAACTGTGAACTCCATTTGGGACGGGCGCCTCCCTTTGGTGTTATGTGGGGCACTCCTACGCGAGGTTATCACAGTGTGTTCCATTCAGCTTCCCTGCCCAGCAAAGGTGCTTGACGCTTTGCGGAAGGACAGGCTCTAAGAAGCCAACAAGGAAACACACTGGGGCCATCGACTATCTCTCTGCACAGGGAGGGGAGGGAACCAGGACGCCAGGGGAGCACATGGCAAAAGGGACAGGGACTCTATTAAAGGAGCAGTGCCTCTCTGCGAGGGGCCATCCATCGCTACCTGCATAAGCCAGGTGGGAGTCTGCGGGAGCAGGTGTAAGCGACTGGGGGCTTGGGAGGTCGGGTCACTGGGTTCGTGAACTAGAGGGGCTGGACTGCAGAGTTCCAGGTCCCTCCCAAGGAAGGGCTTGGACAACAAATGTGTTTCTGGGAGTGAGCCCTGGACACCCAGAGCTAGACACAGTGACTAGACTTAGCCCAGGCCCAGGGGGGTTGGGAGCACGTGGGATCCAGCAGTTGGGTCCACTTACAACAGACTGGGGATCATACAGAGGTGGCCTGGGCACTGTGTCCTCATTTCCTGGGTACCCAACTTGAGACAACTGGGGTCCCATTGGCAGAAGTGGTGCGCACTCGCAGCAGTAAATAGGTGTGTAACCCTTCTGCCAGGCCAAGTTGATAGCAGCAAGGGCCGGGTTCAGTACACAGGGGTTCCCTGTCATCAAAGCAAAATGCAAAACTGGCTCGAGCCCCCACCTGGGAAAATCTTACACACCCCCTGGGCACCTCAAAGAGGCAATACTTCCCCTCTTGCAAGCACAGAGTCTCGGTGTAGCAGAGAATCTCTAATAACATGAGGTAAACGACATCAGCATTAAATTGGGGAAACACCACAACTAGTGTTCATTAACCAAACCATGAGCAAAGACCCAGCCCAGCAAATTGGGCCACATCCTTTCCCTCGGGTTCTTGAGTCCCAGAACCCAAACATCTCTTGAGTCCAGCAATCCACAAATCACCCAAAGTCCAAAAAGTCCAGCCCCAGAGTTCAAAAGTTCATCTGCAGAGTGTTACTCCCCAGTCTGGCTAAAAATGTGCCTGTGTGTGGGGGGAAAGAGGTAAGGGGCACCTTACGTGACCTGAAGCTGACTGCCCCACAGGGCTCCGCTCTGCACAGCTCCGCTGTCTCACAAACGGCTCCGCTCCGCCAGCCTATCCACGAACAGCACCACTGCACTTTAGATCTTCCGGCTCCCCGCTACTTGACACAGCTCTCAGTGATTTCAGCTCATAGTAGTGGGAGCCTTAGTGCTGGTTCACCATAAGGCCAAAGTGAATTCAGCACAGTACCTGTAGCAAGACTCTTAATAGACCCAAAATTAGCTCTGACATTCCACAGTGGAGAGAGACAGAGGTGCAATTGGTGCTTCAAACCCTCACAAAGTAGCCCACACCACCAGATACTAATACCTGTCTCAAGCCTCTCTCAATTCACAGAGTTTTGGAACCCATGTCCCTTGCCTAGCGAGTGCTATTAGTTGATGGTGAGTCCCTCCATCATAACAAAAGGCCAAGTACAGTTCCAAGCACAGTTCCCATAATCAGGGTAATAACAATTTATTCTTCCTGCCCTAATAACAGAGACACTGGGGATCCCACAACAGCCAGAGTAACCATTTGGGCAGCTATGGCCTCATTCTAGGCGGGGTGGGTGTGCCTATGCAAATGATATCGGCCCCTGAAGTTCTTTTCCACAACTTGCCGCACCTCACCACCAGGTGTCAGGGTGGAGCTCATCCTGACTCTGCTTACAGGTGAGTGGGAGCTGTAGGCTGAGCAGAGCCGGTGCTATAGGACGCGAAGTTCTCTGCTGGCGGTGGCCTGTGATGTAGAGGTCAGATGACAATCTGGTGGTCCCTTCTGACCATCAGCTCTCTGACTCTAAATCAGGTCCCAGACCTCTCAAACTGGGCACTCCAAATTAGTGGCCCTTAGGCAACTTTGGCCTTAAGCTTGCCGGGTTATTGTTTCCACTGTGTAAAGTGCAGATAAGAGCACGCCCTGGTCTCACAGGAGGACTTGGAAGATAAGTTTAGTAGGGGTCACTCGAAAGCAGTGGTTCTCAAACCGACCACCTGAAAATTGCTGAGGGTCTCGGCGGACCATGTAATGATCTTTCCAAATGTTAGGTGTCAGGGGGGGGAGCCGTGTTAGTCTGGATCTGTAAAAGCGGCAAAGAGTCCCGTGGCACCTGATAGACTAACAGACCTATTGGAGCATCTGACGAAGTGGGTATTCCCCCACGAAAGCTTATGCTCCAATATGTCTGTTAGTCTACAAGGTGCCACAGGACTCTGCTGCTTTTCCAAATGTTGTTTGTGCCGTTAGCTAACTATTGTAACGAGGTTTGGATAAAAGCACTATATAAAAAAACCCTTAATAATAATTAACGTTTTTTGTTCTACAAATAAAAGCACACAACTCATAGCTTAATATCAGTGGTCTTGCCTTTCCAATGCGATGGATGTGCCCTCTCTCCCCCGTCGTGGCAGCCCCCAAGCTGGGGCTGAGAAGGAGGGGGGTCTCTCCCTCTCTTCCCCGCCGCAGCAGCCACAGAGCTGGGGCTGGGGCGGAGGGGGGTCTCTCCCCCGGCAGCCCCAGCCCTGGAGCTGGGGAAAGTCACCTCTTTCTCTGGCCACCGCAGCCCTGCACATCCCAAATTCCCCCTCCTTCTCACCCCACTGCCCCCTCCCACCTACTCCCTATTTCCCCCAAGGCCACTGTCATAAATATAAAGGGAAGGGTAAACACCTTTAAAATCCCTCCTGGCCAGAGGAAAAACCCTTTCACCTGTAAAGGGTTAAGAAGCTAGGATAACCTCACTGGCACCTGACCAAAATGACCAATGAAGAGACAAGATACTTTCAAAAGCTGGGAGGAGGGAGAAAAACAAAGGGTCTGGGTCTGTCTGGGTGATGCTTTTTGCCGGAGACAGAACAGGAATGGAGTCTTAGAACTTAGTAAGTAATCTAGCTAGGTATGTGTTAGATTCTGATTTCTTTAAATGGCTGAGAAATTAAGTTGTGCTGAATAGAATGAATATTCCTGTCTGTGTGTCTTTTTATAACTTAAGGTTTTGCCTAGAGGGATTCTCTATGTTTTGAATCTAATTACCCTGTAAGGTATTTACCATCCTGATCTTACAGAGGTGA